GTTAAGTTCTGGTTCAGGTTGGGTTAACTATAGGCCAATAATAGTTAATTTTACTAGTTAGGTTTAGAGGTATGGTGTGAATTAAGTTCTGGTTGAGGTTAGAGTTAACTATAGGCCAATAATAGTTAATTTTACTAGTTAGGTTTAGAGGTATGGTGTGAATTAAGTTCTGGTTCAGGTTAGAGTTAACTATAGACCAGTAATGGTTAATTTTACTAGTTAGGTTTAGAGGTATGGTGTGAATTAAGTTCTGGTTCAGGTTAGAGTTAACTATAGACCAGTAATGGTTAATTTTACTAGTTAGGTTTAGAGGTATGGTGTGAATTAAGTTCTGGTTCAGGTTAGAGTTAACTATAGACCAGTTGTAAGAAAAATATGTGTTCAATATGACTGAATTCAAGATGAAAACACCTTTGTTAAATAAAATGATTAGTGGTAGGAATAAAATCATACACCAGAATTCTGAAAACCGAGTGAGGTTTAACTGTCACCGGGCTGACAAGGAAAACCACACTGGCCAAAAGCCAGGAAGTACATCTTTTTATACTTGATTCTTCAATGCCTGAGTTCGCCCCCTACTGACCTACGGCTGAATCACAGGCATTCATCCAAAAATCTCAACCTAATGTTATCATAACATTTCACTTATATGTTGTTTATGATTCAGACATGTAATTACTCTATATCAATTAACACATAATAGATCAACCATTATAAAAAAGGAAACCCTAATAATCTAGTGTTGTGCTTCTAACATCAGTACTAATCTGTAATAACTATAAATTTCTTCAATCCCCCTTTTCACATGACCAAATCATGTGAAATAAAATAAGAAATTTATAATAAGCTAAATGTTCGCATTAAGGCACAAATGTGTATGAAAATTACTCTAAGCGATACAGCACAATGTGGAAAATTTTTAACATCCCATCCCTGATATAAAGTAATATGATTCATTTATTCCACCCCAATCAAAATAGAAAACAGAAATCGAACTATTGTCAAATACCAACCAGGTCAGCTGTGTTTATTCTAATCGGGGCCAGAGGTTCCAGAACTTAGCCCACCGTTGGGAACAAGTCCTCAGCACTGTTCCATCTCCTCTGCGTCAGACTGACCATCAGTACTAATCTGTAATAACTATAAATTTCTTCACAGTAATGGTTAATTTTACTAGTTAGGTTGGGAGGTATGGTGTGAGTTAAGTTCTGGTTCAGGTTAGAGTTAACTACAGACCAGTAATGATTCATTTTACTAGTTAGGTTTGGAGGTATGGTATGAATTAAATTCTTGTTCTGGTTAGAGTTAACTATAGACCAGTAATGGTTAATTTTACTAGTTAGGTTTGGTGTGAATTGAATTGTTCCTTTTCATCATAAAATGATTTTAGTTTCAAACTGAACTGAAAAGCAGGTAATGATCATTCCTGTAAGTGTTTTCTAACAGAGTTCTTAAGCAAAATACATTTCAGTGTAATCAAGTTCAATCTTTTGTATGAATTAAATTCAGTAGATATTCTCAGATTTCTTAATGTTTAAACTGTTGTAGCAATGTGACAGTTGAGTTTCAAATCATTTAGACATTTTTTTTTCTTTTAGATGTTTTTTAATAAAAGTTACAGACTGTATAAAGTGCTTCCAGTGGTAAGATTGCATTAAAATATTTTAGTGGATGACATTGTTTTCAGCTCTTCTGCTACCGGACACTTGAGGTGATGTCCAGATCTTTATAAACCTTCTTTTGTTTTGTCTCTTCAGTATTTATACAGTGACGGTGAGCTCCAGACTGACGGGAGGGAACAAGGAGGTCTTGTGTGCTCAGATCAGCAATCCCACAGAGACACTCGTCCTGAGCATTACTCTAAACGTGGACTCTACTCTAAATGACAACTCTACTCTAAATGACAAATCTACTGTAATTGACAACTCTACTGTACATGACAACTCTACTGTAAATGTGAACACTACTCCAAATGTGAACACTACTCCAAATGTGAACTCTACTCCAAATGTGAACACTACTCCAAATGTGAACACTACTCCAAATGTGAACTCTACTCCAAATGTGAACTCTGCCAATACCAACAAACGCAATGTCATCCTGGAGAGCAGCATTGACAAGGACTTCTACACCTGCACAAACTTCCAGGTCTGTTTCTACCTTTTTTTTGTTTAAATGAAAAAGTTATGTCTCATTTCTTGGTTTTCCAGCAGTAGTGAACCACAACAGACTTGAACACATTTTTTTATATTTAAGAAGTTTTGCATCTTTTCCTGGCAGCTGAATCTCTAACATTCTTCTACGAATTCACCCACTGTCCCTCCTGTGGACATGTCCTGCTGTCTTCATACATGTCCTGTACCAGTCTAACATACTTTTCTGCCACTCCAGATGTCCTCAAACAGCACAGCTCTTCCATCAGCACTCTGAACTTTTTCTAACTAAGACACACATAGTTGTTTCTGAGCCTCTATTCTTCATCAGTACCCTAAAAGTAAAGATGGCATCTTGGTCCATGGGCCAGGGTGGCTCATCGTTCTGACAGTGACATTTGGAAAGGCTCCGTTCTCTGAAGTAAAGAAAGGGACCATCCAAGCTGTTGTTGGAGCAATTGAAAGCCTGCCTCTGATGGTATGGGGTTGCATTAGTGCTGCTGCCATGGACCACTTACACACCTGGAAAGGCCTCATCAGTGCTGAAAAGTTTATACAGGTTTAACAGCATTCTGCACCCATTACTACAACACGGCTGTCTGGTAGAGTCCAGGTGCTGAACTGACAGCCTTACAGTCCAGAATTCTCCCAAAGTTGAAAACATTTGATTCGTCATGTAACAAAAGAATCCAGCAATAGGCTCCAGGTGTTTATCAGCTAGAACCCTTTATTAGACCACATTCCCTCCACGACCTGCAGCAGCTGCTCTCAGTTCTCACGCTTCATTGTGTTCCAACTTTTTAACATGTTGCTTCTATCCATCCATCCATCCATTTCTAGACCTTACCAGGGAGCCTCAGAAGTGTGATCCCCCTATAGTTGGAACACACTCAGCGGTCCTCCTTTATAAATAGGGGGACCACCACCCTGGTCTGCCAATCCAGGGGGACTGCCCCTGATGTCCACGGGATATTGTAGGGTCGTGTCAACCAATACAACCCACAACATCCAGAGCCTTAAGGAACTCCGGGCGAATCTCATCCACCCCCGACGCCCTGCCACCGAGGAGCTTTTTAAACACCTCCGTGACCTCAGAACCAGAGATTGATGAGTCCGTCCCAGGGTTCGCAGGCTCTGCTTCCTCATGGAAGACGTGTCTGTAGGAGTGAGGAGGTCCTCGAAGTATTCCGCCCACCGATTCACAACGTCCCGAGTTGAGGGCAGCAGCGCACCATCCCTACCATGAATAGTGATGGTGGCAAACCGCTTTCCCCCACTGAGATGCCGGATGGTGGACCAGAATCGCCTCGAAGCCGTACGGAAGTCTTTTTCCATGGCCTCTCCGAACTCTTCCCACGCCTGAGTTTTTGCCTCAGCGACCACCCGAGCCGCAATCCGCTTGATTTGATTTGATTGATTTATTTAACAGGAAAAGATTATTAAAAATCAAGCCTGACT